TTTATGTCTTTTCATGTATTTTCAGTCATGTTCTGAATTTCCGAGGACGGAAATTTCGTAAGGAGGGAGGATTGTAATATCCCGACTTTTATCAGTATTAATAATATTTTAGTTCCGATATTATACCGGAATTAATTATTTTCAGTTATTTCAGTCGAAATTACCGGAAAATATTTTCGACGTACCGTTTACGTTCGGAATAATTTTGGTAATTTAGCGTTATGTTTAATTGGATAATTAAACATAATTACGTGATTAATTTAACTTAATCACGAGATTAGTAATTGTTCGGATTTTATTCCGAGTTCATGTTCTTAGCCGTGCATTGTTGCTATTGCCGTGTGCATTGTTCATTTATGTGCTATGTATAAGTGTTAGAATTAATTTTGTCCAAGTTCATGTGCATGCCGTGTGTGTGTGTTCGGTCCAAGTCCATGAGCAATCCGTGCGCGCGTGTTCGTCCGAGGATCCGCGCCCAATGCTAGCCGGCGGAGTGTCCAAGGCTCGAGTCGTCCGCGCCATTCCTTGTCCATATGCTAGGGGCGGAGTATCCGAGGGCTGGTGTTAGAGACCGTGCGCACCTTGCGCAAGAATCCGCGCCACCCCTTGTCCTCTTACGCGTGGGAGTTTGGCCCCATTTGGTCCAAGAATCCGTGCGCATTTTCCTTGTCCGTGTTGGTGGGCGGAGCATCCTAGAGCATGTGGTAGTACGTGAGTATCCGCGCGCCTCATTGTCCTCTTGTGCCCGAGAATCCGTGCCATTTTGTTGGCATTAGGGCGGAGTGTCCCATGCCGTGCACATGTAGTGTGCCTTGACCGAGTGTCCCCCCTCATTTCGGTATTTAGTGAGGACTTGAGAGACTTGGAGCATTTTACTCCATTTTTCTTCTAAGTCCTAGAGAGTGCCGAGAGTTAGTGAGAATTTTGTGTGAGTTATTCGGGAGCAAGTACCGAGTACCGTACGCGAGCACGCCGCAAGCCACCCGCACGGAAGTCCGATCGCAACGCACGCGGAGTTCTTCACGGCCGAGAGTTCGAGAGTTAGTCTCCGAAGGATTAGCAAGAGGTAAGTTCCCGAGAATATCATGTTTATTTGAGATTAGATGTTAGAATTTACTTGCATGCGTGTTATAGCCATCGCCGTGCATTCATGATACATGTTAAGTAATTATCCGAATCATGTTCTTATTTTCAAGCATTTCTCCGAACAATCTTGCATGCTTAGTTTTATGTGCAATTTCATGTTTATATTAGCCTAAATGTTCGGAGGTTATATCATGTTTGAAATGTTCGGCCGAGGATGGTGTGGTTGCGCATGTAGCGCACCACGGGCCGTGCATACTTGCTTATATATGTTAAGTTAACAATTCACCGAATAACCCTCGCATGTTTAGCCTTTATTTGCGAAATCATGTTTAATTGAACTTAAGTGTTCGGATGAATTTAGTCGTTTTAATGGGGTTTGGCCGAGAGGGGTGTGGTCGCACACGTAGTG